TTTTAATGATGTCATATAATGGTTTTGAAATTCAGTTATATTTGTAAAGCATAATTAGTTAATTGGATAAGTGGGGTTGGAATGCACCAGGACAGTTTTATTTGGATCATGAAGCCTTTTTGTATATGTTTTTTGTATTTCTAGGAGCGTGAAAGCCTTCAATGTTTGTCCTGCAATTTTGATGGAATGTGTCGTAGTAAACGTTTTCTGCAGTGGTTTGCAGTCCTCACTGTCAGGCATGCAAAGCTGCTTTTCCAACTCCCTCACTAAGAAGTAAAATCCTCCCTGGTAAAGGAGGTGGACCAGAGCAAACATTTTCTGCACTGTGAATTTCCATTTATTAAAAGATGGAGAACTTTCATTTTAGTTTTGTAGTTATTATCATCTTAACATGTGGGCAAAACTGATCTTTGTGCTGCTATCGTGGCTGAAAGCTGTGAGTACACGTTGGAAAGAGAGAACTATTCATAAAGAAGAAGACTCAAGAGTATGGGGACAAAATCATCCTCTTCCTGTCATCTCATTCTTTTTAGCGGTCAGAAACCTTGATCTAGCATTGAGAGGCATTTCAAAATTATTTTCTTCTCACAAAAAAATGAAGTTTTTGAATGAGATTTGCAGTCTTATAGGAAACCTGAGGTGGTAAATGGAGTCATTAGATTGTTTCTCTGGGGCTTTGTCCCTAGCTGTTATGGTGGCTGCCTTCTGCCTGATGACCTTAGTCCTGAGGACGAGTAGAAAAGCTGGCAACTTTTTCAAACTCTCCTTAACCAAACAGGCAGGGGGAGTACCCCTCCTGTGTCACTGGCACAGCATGGGAGGTTTGCTTATACCTCTGAAGAACGGCTCTTTTACTGGAACTGTATCTGTCCTCTTGTGAAAGAAACTCAGAACTGACCTTGCCTTTCTTCCCTGTGGTTATCTTTGCTTGGTATTGATTTGATTGCTTTTCTTGTCCTGTACAGCATGGATCTTCCCTTCCAGCTCTCCTCTTGGCTCCCACGTTTGACACTTTATATCTCTTTGAGGGGACAGGAACCTTAGCAATAACATCAAAACTAATTAAAAGAGCTCATTCATATGCCTTACTGTCACAGGACTACTTTGACGCTCTTTTTTGCAATACATCTTTTAATTTATAAAAGGAATTTTATTACATATATGTATAAATACATATTGTATAATATGGAAGGAATTTATCAAGGGAAGCATCTTTCTAATTATAGCTCAAAACTAAGTGTTTGAGACTTTTGGCTAATACAAACCATCCCCCATTTTGGTCTCTAGTAGCTATTTATTTTCTCAGAGCGTGCTGTAAATTGTAAGGTGTCTGCATCTGAGAACTTGGCTTTGGTTAGAGGCACTGGGAGGGTAGTGGGCTGGGTCTCTTCACCAAGACTTTCCAGTACAGAGGAGTACATGATAAATCCTCCTCCTTTAGGTCCTGTCCACAAAAAAAACTTGCTGAGGCATGAATGCTGTGAGAATGGAATTGGAAATAGAGATTGTGGATGAGTAAAAATGGTTAACAGTTTTGTTTCATGATGAATTATCAAGGATTATGGGCAGTTGTTCTTTGAAGTATTTCAGCTTTGTGCTGAGTAGCTCAACGATAACACGCTCACTTGGTTATTTAAAAAATACTGCAGGAGCAAGAGAAAAAAGTGAACTTTTTCAGTGAGCGGTCACTCCTCTTTGTCTTTGCAGGCAGAGCAAAGAGCCCACATTACATATTCTGAAGCTGGGCTTTTTCAGTCACCTTTAATATTGCCTTCTTTCAGTAGTGGTGCATGAGGTTTGAAACTGCAAGCTTTGGATGAGTTGAGCAAGCAGAGAGTGATCAAATCTTAGCAAGGCATATTGGCTGGGTATCTTTTGCAAAAATCCATTTTCTGGGTATCGCATCAGTAAGGAAAGATGTGAGCGTTGAACTGTTACTATGAGTACAGGAGTTATTTTCATTCAGAGTCCTTGCTGGGTTTGGCAAGCCTTCTTTTCCAGCATTTCTAGGTGAGAGTCCAAACATGGTTCTGCCTGGACACTGAGCTGTTCTTGTGCCTGCCATCTGGTGGCAAGATACCACAGCTGACTGGACCAGCTGCAAGAACCCAGCCGAGGCTTTCTCTTAAGGGTACTGGAGAAAAAATGTAGATCCTTTTCTCCCTGAGCCATGTCTCAGATGGAGATTGGTTTTTGCATGGTTTCCCTGGAGGAGAAATAAATTTTCTAAGTTCTGTTACCATCTTTCTGCTCTTTCCTAGGATATGATGGAGCTCCTAGAGGAAGATCTCACCTGTCCCATTTGCTGCAGCCTATTTGATGATCCTCGTGTCCTGCCCTGTTCACACAATTTCTGCAGAAAGTGTCTGGAAGGAATTCTTGAGGGAAACGTGCGGAATGTGCTTTGGAGGCCGTCCCCTTTCAAATGTCCCACGTGCAGGAAGGAAACTCCTGTTACTGGAGTCAACAGCTTGCAAGTCAACTATTCCTTGAAAGGTATTGTGGAGAAGTATAACAAAATCAAAGTAACTCCGAAAATGCCTGTATGCAAAGTGCACAGTGGGCAACCTCTTAACATTTTTTGCCGGACAGACATGCAGCTGATCTGTGGGGTTTGTGCCACCCGTGGTGACCATACAAAGCACGTTTTCTGTTCTATCGAAGAAGCTTATTCCCAGGAGAAGCGGGCTTTTGAAACCCTGTTTCAGAGCTTTGAAACTTGGCGTTGTGGAGATGCCCTCTCGCGGTTGGATACCTTAGAAACCAGTAAGAGGAAAGCCCTGCAGATGCTGACTAAAGATTCTGACAAAGTGAAGGAGTTTTTTGAGAAGCTGCAGCACACGCTGGAGCAGAAACGAAATGAGATTCTTTCTGACTTTGAGACCATGAAGCTTGCAGTGATGCAGGCATACGATCCAGAAATCAATAAACTGAACACAATTCTGCAAGAGCAACGGATGGCTTTTAACATCGCAGAGGCCTTCAAAGACGTGTCTGAACCCATTATATTTCTGCAACAGATGCAGGAGTTCAGGGAAAAAATCAAGGTGCTCAAAGAAACCCCTTTACCTTGTTCCAGTGTGGACATCAGCCCTACAATGAAGAGCTTCGATACCAGCCAGTGGAATGGAATAAAACTAATCGATGTGGACAAACTTTCCTTGCCTCAGGAAAACAACACTCTGAAATTCAAGATTCCCTCAGTCTTTTCACGCAGATTTATAGTGACCTCTCTTATTTGCTTGCTTATTCTTGCTGTCACCAGAATGTCCTTTGTGGAGTCAGTCATTGACAATCTCCAGGGCTGGAAATCTCAATTCTTTACAATTAGCTTGTCCTATTTGGCAGATACAGTGGAGATAGCAGATCATGCAGTCTTCTACTGGGAACAGATGACAGATGGAGCTTCTCTTCTAAGAGAAAAGTGTAAAAACTATACGTTGGTCGTACTGGATAATGTTGCGCAGTTTGTGTGCAAATATAAACTGTTGTGAAGCCCCTACTGAAATGTAAGAACTAAGAGAGATCTGGTGAAGAAAACATAGAACTTCTTAAAATTAATTGGTTTTTTAAGACTTCCAGTGAAAACTAAAAAGATGCAAAATGTTTCCAAAACATTCATACTGTTCACGTGGTTTGAGCACTGATAAACTGGAAGATGAAATGGAGCTTTGAAAAACACATTGTTTCTGGATTCTTCTTTCAGTGGTGATTATGGGAATATGATTCACTGTAAATCATTTTTCTTACCAAAATATAGGGCCAAACTGTGTACTTAGTTTAATGTTAATGTAATTGTAGAATAAGATAAAAAGTGTCACTTCCTAAAAGGTAATAGTTTAAAAAAAAATTCTTTCTAACTGGGAGGTGGTTGGAAAGAGGAAGAACAGTTGTGACTGAGAAGAGTGCTGTACTGAGAGACTTGTTGAGGACTGCCCTTCCACTGCAGAACACAGTGCATCGTTCACATTCTGGAACCGCTTTCTATCTGAGGACGTTACTTCTCACTTGAAATAGATATATGTATTTTTTTTGTATAACCAAATGTTATAATTATCCTGTGCATTCAGGTTACTGTAGATACTGGTTATTGTTTACATGTTCTATACAGAAATATATCTTCAGGGCAAGCATAAATTCTAGGGGTAAAGAGAAATCAGTTGAGGTTGGTAAGAGAGGAACAAGTTGCAAGATAGTACGTACTTTGCAGATAGTACATACTTTGCAGTTTACTTTTCCAGCATCAAATTGTTGGAGTATCGAGCTGTCGTGTTAGATCCATGTTTCTCTGAAGCCACACTTTCCTAAAAAGTGGCCTTAATGTAACCAGTTCAGTGCGGTGAAAGGCACGTGGAAGGCAGCTTGTGCTCGAGCCTTGCAAAGGTGGCAGGCAGAGCAGTTTCTCTCCTCTTCCTCTTTATCTCTCCAGATCGTAATTCCAAGAAAAAGATGGGATGATTCCTTGGAACAGAGCGTTCCAGTGATTTAAAGTGAACTGTAAGCTTGAGTTCTCTGAAGTGCCCTTCTTTAAGAGCATACGATACTGAAATAGATTGCTTGAAGCACATCTAACCTCTTCTTGCAGTGGTCCTATGAACAGCGATATATAGAATGAAAACATTTAGTTGACATTTCTGGGAAACAAATGTAATGTGTGCCATACTTTGGGGGTAGTGCTTGGCCCCTCTCAAGGTTTAATAAGTTACGACAGTCAATTCACTGTCTTCTAGTAGTCCTTGCAAGCTGTTAATTTCAAAAATAAAACATTAAATTCCAAGGATCAAAGTTTCCAAGCAACCAAACCCTGCAAACAAAACTATTGTACATGATATTTACATCTTTGTTGCCTGGGAGTCCTGTCGCTGCTCCACACCTCACTCCAAACACTTGCTAAAAGCACTGAATTGCTCTTGCAGCTGCAGATGCCTTGCAGTTCAGGAAAGATCAAGTCACAAACACATAGATCAGAGAGTTACAATTCTTGAGTGGCTGAGGTAGCGATGAGTAATCAAGAGGTGGTCGTTCTGAGTGTGGGAGGTGTGAGATTTGTAACCCGGGCTTCTACCTTGCAGCAGTTCCCCGAGTCCAGGCTAGCACGGATGTTGAACAATGATGACCGGGAATTCAAACTGGCGAATGGAGAGTTTTTTGTGGACAGAGATGGAACTTTGTTTAGTTATATTATGGACTTCTTGAGGACTCTCCAGGTCTCCTTACCTACTGATTTCTCAGACTATCAGAGGCTGCAGAGAGAAGCAGAATTCTATGAACTCTACCCTCTGGCCGACCTCCTGAGCCAGGAACACTTGCTGAAGCCGAGGCTGGAGATCTTGGAAGTGCGTTTTTCTCTCCAAGAGATGCAGGCCTTTTTCCGGATCTTTGGTTCCTGCAGTACCACCGTTGAGACACTGGCTGAACAGATCTCTCTGTTTACAGGGCAGCAGTCAGGACAGAGCTGGAACAGTCCTTTTCCTTCTCAGAAACCACTCGTTCCACTTCCTTTGGAAAGACCTTCTCATCATGACATGGTTTTTCAGTGTGGTACTGACTACTCTGCTGGTGACCAGTTTGTGGCCAGGTATCCTCCCTGCTCATTACGGAAATGTCTTTGTGATTTCTAGTTCATTAAGTACAGGCTACATGCTAGCAGAGCTCATTTTAAAGAAACCATCGGACAGCTGTCTGAGAGAAAAGAGATATATTTCCTTCTTTCTGCTAGTTTAATGTTATCTTTTTCTTGTTCTGAAATACCCAGTTTAATTTCTGTTACACTGATTTGCCTGTTCTTCAACTTCCTAAAATACTGTTCTCGATGCTTGTTTCTGAGTTCTGTTGAGTCTTTCTCTGCCCTTTCCTCCTCACTCACTGTCCCGGGCTTTAGAATTTCATGGCACCAATGACCTTCTAGAAGACTTGAAAGACACAGAGTAAAAGGAAAGAAAATAAATAAGGAGTGAGCTACTGGGGAAACCTAAAATCTCCACTAGCTCATGGTCCAAAAGACTTTCGTATGGAAAAGAGGAAAAAGAGAATGGCTAAAGAGGGTTAAAAACACCAGTGGAACTTAGCAATTCAGGGACTGGAAAGCTTTTGTAGAGCCTTTTGTTGGGGGGAGGGAGAAGGGTTATTAACTATATGCTACACAGTGGGCTTTCTTTGAATTCAGAGCCAGGTTCTGGTTTTATTAAGGTTACTGTATATCAGTGATTTTTGTGATAGCAGTATCGTATTCTAATGACAACGTACATTTTTTTAAACAAGCTTTTGCTGGATGTCTCTATTGTATGGAGACACATTCTTACTGTATAAGAAAATGTAACCTAATTTGTCCTCTGTGGCTGTTAGAACACCTGGAATTTTATGGAAGCTTCATTGAAATATTTCCAAAAGGGTTATTCTCTCTGAATATATGAATCAACACAGCAGTCTTTTGATTATTTAAAAAAAAAAAAGAATAAAGTTTATCTTTCTTCTAGCTTTCTTTAGCTAACCAAGTAGAAGAAAAACTACTTTGCATTTGCAAAGCAACATAGATTTATGTGCCAAACCTGAACTTTATAATGTATTACTAATTTTAATGGACTGACGATTGGTTGACTAGGTTACGGCAACTTAAGTAGTGGGGAAAATATTTCTGTTTCTTTCCTTTATTTCTCCAGACTTGGTAAAAATTTTCCTCTGCAGATCAATAGAAAAGCTTATCTTGAGTAATGAAACAAGTCGAGTTTGATTATGTTGCCTGATGAATTTCTATTGGCTTAGTCTTTGTAGTGATATGGACTGTTTCACCTTTTTTTTTTTTTTTGTGCTTTCCATGAAGTTTGGTGTACTTTCTTGTGAACTGTGGAACAGTTTCACCCCTGTCAGCTTATGTATTTTGTAATAGTATTTTTACCTGACTTCTGTTCCTCAAAATGTCTGGATAGATTCTTAAACTGTACTTTCTATCAAGTAAAATCATTTGAGGCAATGTGAAAATGATTTTCATACTTGTTTCCACAAGACCTGCTGTACAAGGTAACTTTGCAATAAATGTCACTGTTTGTAGAGAGAGATCCTATGTAATGAAAACTGGTGCTGTTGGGGTGAATGTGACTTCACTGTCCTTTCCGTCATTTACTCTTACCTGAAAAACTGTTGCAGCACTGCATAGGTGTTGTGGTTCAACCCCAGCCAGTAACTGA